ACGCCTTACTCTCCAAAAGATATTCCCACCCATACTCTTATGTAAGATCTACTGATAGACTCGAAAACCTACATATAAATAGAAAGTAAGTAATGTAGTCGATTGCTTTGGCAAATAAAACGTTGATTTATCAAGAATCCCACTACAAAAAAGTGATTTGGAAATGGCTTAGTCTTTCTTACAATTCACTCCTGTATTTGTGATAGTATGGTTAAGTATATGAAATGTTTTCATCCTATTTCGTTTTAGGTGATAAGGGGACTGGTAGTTGATTTTTCCTACAATGACATGAGTGGACATGATGTTTCCATTGAATTTCACATAGCCTTGCTTACTCATAAGGTATTCTCATTTAGGCAGGCGTGGACTGCAGTTTCTACTTCTTCTGCAGGGCTTATCACCCACATCGGGACTCGAACGATGAGAGTCCAGTGCATAATCTCGACACGTTAACCACAAGGCCACAATAGCACGAGCGCCCTTGCGTCACAGAGCAGATGTGAATTTCACGGAAGGCCGGCATCTTTCCCACATCACATAATGTGGTGGGATTATCGATTAGGAAAAAGTTGTATTTGTTATAGCAGTCGACTACGCTACATATTTGATCTACTGGAGGTCTCGAGTCGCGCTGGGGGTGCTAATAAGATCTCGGTGGGGTCGAAACCTTTTGGGAAAGCAAAGCTATGTGAAATTCATTGAAAACATCATGTCCACCAATACTCTAAACGAAATAGGAAAACCACATTTCATATATATTTATGATCAATTGGCAGTCTCGAAATCCTACTTATAAACGAAAAAAATTTTGGCATAGTGTTTAACATGTCGGCACTTCCCCAGTTCAAGTCCCGTTGGTAGTGCGAGCTCGAAACTGCAGTCCACTCCAGCCTGGATGAGAATACCTTATTCGGATCAAGATTATATCAAATTCAATGGAAACGTAAGGTCTACTCATATGATTGTGGGAAAAGTCAAATACCAGTTATCCATCACCTATAAAAAAATAAAGTGAACACATCTCAAATGTATATATTTCCTTTACAATCGACACTCTCAATAGATACGTAAATAATGGGCCTCGATACCATCTATAGTTTTTAAATAAGCATTCCATTCTCAAAGCCTACTCGTTACATCGTCAAATGTATTTGTAAACACCAGTTATTCTTATCCATGCCCCTCCCCATTCATGTGATCCGGGAGAGGCCTGGCATTCCTAGAAAGCTCGTCTGTCCAGTGATCCATTGGACACGACTCGGCTTCGGATCACGTTGACGGTGATTATGTGAAACTGTATTCTGATCGGGAGGAGAAAACCTATTTGGAGGCAAGGAAATGTGAAATTCAACTCCAAATCTTTACATCACCTTAAGCGACCTAGAGTAACTAAACTTGCTAGTCTTTTTTTAGTTATGTTTCTAATTACAATTCCTGAGTTCACACAATAAGGTAATCAGCTTAGCCTGACATGTGTCCGTCATTACAAGATCAGAGTGGTGGGTAAAGAATGGTGATTAACCCTTGATGATCGAGGACAGATGTCTTACGCCTTAGTCTAATAACTCACTGACACACCAACGCACACATGTGCATACACACATGCATAAACAAACACACATACATATACGTTTCTAGATTGGCATGGAACAAGCAAAACACTCTTGGCCTCGCAAAAAAGGCTTACATTTGGTGAGTGTAAACAGCATAAAGTGATACGCCGAACTTGTTAGGCCAAAGTGGTGGTAAGAATGGTATCCTACCATGGTGATGTTTGCAATAGTATTCACAAGAACTGTGTATACCGGAACCTTCTTGAAGAGTGTAATGACAGCTGGCCAAAAAGAATCTACCGTAGTCTTCTGATAATAACGACGTAAGATGGTCCGGTTTTACAGTCCTTTTTCCCGAAATGGGAGAAAGTCTAAAAAATGACTCTAGTTGATCAGGGCTCCTTTCTCTAATCCACGCGGATAAAAATGCTACAAAAGACCGTCCACCAAAAAGGCTATCTCAACGAAGTTTGCGAATGCTGGTCAAGCGGAGACCCAACGACAGAAATTACCAATGCCAGCTGTAAAAGAGTATCACCCTCTCCTGCAAAGTAGGAAATTTTAGGCTCAAGACTTTGTCACCGATCGACATATATAGGCTTAATTTGAACAAATCAGGATTTTAAAAAGCACAAAATCAGATGGTAATTCTGCCAGATGTCTTATTCTGAGTCAAGCAACTTTTGGTAATAATGGGGTATATTGAAATGCAGGCAGATAGCGATTAATACGAGTCCAAATAGTGCGAAATTCGATTTAGTACTTGTTGTACACTGACACCAGATCGTGTGAAATACGACCAAAATGGGATCAGTAGTGTCCATGATTACAGGGCAGAGGAGACCGTTGTCCTATATGTAAATTATGCGGCTTGTCACGCCATCCAATTTTCTATGGAGAGTAAAGTGTGCTAAAGATTGTACATAAACTCCTTTGCAAATCTGGCAAAGGGCAGAATTGTAAGTAAATATTCTACGGCAAAATAAGAAGCGATTTGTGATTAATCAAAATTTGATGTGGTCAAAAGACACAAACGTGGTGATTACAATGATATAATCAACATATATGTTGGATTACATGAATCAGCGTTACGGAAAATTTTAAAATACACAAATGTAATGTAGGAAAAAGGTAACGCAGTCTCAAATGTATGTTGTTTGAAGGCCACTTATAGTAAGAGAAGTATTAAAATGACAAATTTATGTGAGAAGATAAAAGTAAATATTTTACCAGCAAACACAACATTCCATGGGCAAAGGAACAATCATAATATTCAGAGCATACTACCTAAGAATAACTTTTGCACAGGCAATTGCTCAAAAACAGATGATGATGCCTATAATAAACCTTTGGCTTTCAATAATTTTTGATTGCATTAATAAGTGAGAATAAATAGGATGATTTTAAATTTTTTGATCAAACTTTTTTAGTAAAATTCAACGAAGTACATGACTTTAGATGTTGTAATTGCTTTTAGCAGTATGATTTTGAATAGTTCGGCATTTTTACGGGACGAATTACTAGTTCTAATCGCGACATGCCTGTATTCGTGAAAAAGGGAGTCTTTTAAATCCTTTATTATAACTCTCTTGAACAACGGGTTTATTAAACTTCTGCCGAAAGTAGTGCTGAGGCGTATCGAAATCCAAACTGTAGACAATGGTCGGTCTTGAGGGTCTCGCGACTATGTTGCTCTCCCTCTATATAATAATGCTGATGCTGATGAAAGGACTTTATTTGATCGGCTTCATCACTTATTATTTCATATTTTGGTGCCTTAATACCGACAAAAATGAGGCTAGACTGTTTAATTAGTACGAAGAAAAGTAGGGTTTCGAGGGATCTCTTGTTTCATAATTGTTGAGCTTACTTCCATTTTGACTGAAGTGTTGGGTGAAGAGATTCAAAGGTCAGTTCCACCAGAAGACGACGGCGGATTCCTCTTGACCAGCTG